TGAATTTCTCCCATTGTTGATGTCTGGTTTAGACAACAATGATCTTCCCAAACCAAGCTTTCCTAATGAATATGACTTCCCGAGTTTGGCTCATGGAAGTCATACTTCTCTTCCTCCACCTCCTCCAATTATTCTCCCTAACCCACAAGTTCAAGTTCACTCAAGCCCTAATGGCAAGCAAGGTCTATGTGTGATCACATCTTAGAGATGAAGTCACATATTGACAAGCCGGGAGAGTTGAGTGTCAAAGTCTGTGTAGTATAGGAACTCGTCGAGTTAGGAAGTAACTCGACGAGTTGAGTCGGCTGGGAGTTGACCTTGACTTTGACTTTGACCAGGATGTTGACTTTGACCAGGGGTAAAAGGGTCATTTTACCATAAGGAGGATTATCAGATTTTGATTAAGTGTTATTGTGAAATTGATAGTCGGGGAGTCATTGGAGCAGCCGTCAGAGATTCCTCACACGAGATTTCACAGCTAGCATACGAGGTGAGTTTTCCGCCAGTAAGACGGGTCTAAAGCACCAAGGTCGGCCCGTATATGCATGTTTAGTAGACGAGTGTGGGCGAGGCCCATATCTTCCAGTTAGCCGAGTGTGGGCGGGGCCCGTATCTCATAGTTTAATTTGAGTATGGATATATGATTGATCGATAGATTTAGTTATACTTGTTGTCTGTGTGATACTTGTATGTATGTTTATTAGATGAGTGTGGGCGGGGCCCGTATCTCATAGTAGCTGAGTGTGGGCGGGGCCCGAATCTCATAGCCAGCGGAGTGTGGGCGGGGCCCGTATCTCCCGGTTAGCAGAGTGTGGGAGGGGTCCGTATCTCCCAATTAGCGGAGTGTAGGCGGGGCCCGTATCTCAATGAGTGTGGGTGGGGCCTGTATCTCTTAGTTGCAAGTTATATGGTATGCGGTAGTTTGGGGAGACTCACTAAGCTTCGTGCTTACAGATTTCAGTTTTGGTTTCAGGTACTTCCACTAGCAAGGGGAAGAGCTCGGGATGACTGCATGACACACACCACAGTTTATAGCTTAGGATGTTTTAGACTCTGATGTTTTGATACATGGTTTTGATACTGTATTTGGATATGATGTTTTTGTTACATGACTTGTGATTTTATTATGATGTTGATGCATTATGGTTTTCTTAAATGATTTTAAAAAGAAATTTTTGAACCTTATTTTTCGGACGTTTCATATAAAATTATGACTTTAAGTTTTTAACATATTATAGTTAACTTATTAGTTTAAATATGTTGTCGTATGTGTGAGTAATTGTCATTTTAAAGTTGCAATTGTTGTATAATTTATGATTTTATGCAAAATAGTTAAATTATTAATTTCAATATAATGTTAAACGGTTAACTTAAATCAAAATTTCAGTTAAACATGAAAATCGAGAAACAATTTTATAAATAGTTAAAAGTTATAAATTATAGTGTTAAACCTAAATTGTAATATTAAATTAACCAAAAAAATCTATGAAACTATTTTTTATAATCATTAAGAATTTTCAAATAAGTAGCTTAAAATAACTTACAATAAGAATAGTTAAAAGTTATATTATATAAAAAAATTATAATGTTATCTTTCAAAACAAAAACAATGTTTGTTGTTTTAAATAATTACAATCAAAGAAACTAATAATATTCATCAAATAAAATTTTTAAAAAATTTAAATTTCTAAAACCAAATTAAAATAAATAAAAGTTTTCAAATACGTTATTTTAAATAACTTACACAACAATAGTTAAAAAGTAACATTATATACGAAAATTATATTGTTACATTTAAAAAAATAAAAACAATGTTTGATATTTTAAATAATTACAATGATAGAAATAAAAATCTTCAACAAATAAACTTTTTAAAATTAATCAATCATAACAATAACTATAAATATCATTAAACCAAATATTATATTTAATTTATTCAGTAGTAACTTGCAGGTAGAAGTCATTGAGATAATTATGATTATAGAATTTTAAAAGATGTCTACATTATCATATAATTCAAAACAAACAATATTTATACCAACTTATTATAAGATTTATTATATAATATCTAACAACAACGTCATTGATATATTTAAAAAACATATATTTGTAAAAAGATTTCAAATATATTATTGTATATTGCGTAACGCACGGATATTCACCTAGTTATAGTATATTTTTCACAAAATATACTTGCTCAGACACAAGTAGCAAATAGTCAAGCACATCATTAATAAGCACATAATTTAGCAATAATGTATTAGCAATTTTACTACTTTAACAAAGCAAGTTAAACATTCAAGCACTTTTATGTTAAACTATAACAACTTAATGTCTTACAAATAATCAATATGATTTTTAAGATATATCACCTGAACAAATGAAAAAGTTAATTGTCATACATGACAAAAAGTTTGTGTATTTCATGAAAATCATACATCGATTATTAAATCAATTTGAAGCAAAAGAATCAATAAATTGACTTAAAATGCTAAAATTGATCATTTAAAGCCATGCCAAGTGCCAACAATCCACAAAGTTTTAAAAACAAAAAAACGGTAGCTAAAGGAAATGTCGGCTGAAACCAAATTACATATTTTTCATTGACATTTTTGTAATTTTCCTTTGGGAAAATCACTTGTGAGAGGTAATTACATTTTCATATCTTATTCATGGTTAGACAATTTTTTTTTATATATTTGATCATTTAACTTGATAAATGTATTTTCATATTATCATTGTCACTGCTATTACATGTGACAATGATAGCATATAAACACATTAACAAGTTAAATTGTTAAATGATTAAAAAAAATTGTTTAAATGTAAACAATTTTTTTTTTATAAATTTCTTAAAACTTTTTATAATTTCTTACAATATTTTTATGATATTTTTTTCCTATACGTTTTTTCTAATACAATGTTTTAAATTTTGCTTATAATTTTTTTTTAAACTTTTTTATACTTTCATGTATTTTTTATATAAGTGTTTTTAAACCAAATATTTTTCTAAATGTTTTATATTTTTCTTACAAGTTTTTTTTTCATACAATTTTTTTTATAAATTTCATACAACAATTTTTAAACTTTCTTTTATAACATTTTTAAAGTGTTTCCTAGATTTTGTATGAAAATTTAATAATTTTATATAACATTTTAAAATACTTTCGTTAAATATAAGTTTAAAATGTTGTATTAAAAAATTAAAAAGTTTAAAAAAGGTTGTAACAATTTTAAAACATTTACATTATTTGGATAAAACTGAATTGTCCAATTAGACAATTTGGATTGAACTATTTGGTTCGGATTTTTGGATTGGTTTTTATCAAAACCGAATTATTATTTTGGATTTCGAATTAATTTTGGTTTATAAAATAAGAACCGAATAGTTCAAAAAAATCGAATAATTCTTGTTTATTTATTTCTAATGTATCTATAATTATTTATTAATTTTATGATTTATTTTTTCAAATAAGTTCAAAAAGTTTAACCAAATAAAAAATATTAATATGTATTTTCTCTCAAAAGTTTTTTATCTATTAAATATTAAACTATAATGTGCCTTCTTAGTAGTTGTTTATAGATTTTAAATCACAACTAAATAATTTGTTTTTGCTTCTTTTGTAAAAATTAAATTGGATAATATTATAATTACATGTCGTTATAAAATGGTTTGGTTTTTGAAAACCGAATTATAAAAACCGATCTAATCGATTTGTAATTGGATCGGATCGAATCAGATTTGAATTTAGTTTGGACTATTTTGATCCATATTTTGAAAACTAAAATCAATTTAGATTTACTTAATTGGATCGGATCGAACCGATCCATCCAAACGAACACCCTAGATACTTTAAAAATAACGTTTGGAAAATAATACAAACATATATGAAAAATTAAATCGTTATTAAAAATATGAAAAATTAATTATCAGGGTAATTAACTTTTAATTTTGTTCACATTTAGATAATTTTCTGTTTTTTTGTACACATTTGATTTTTTATACACATTTGACTATTTTACCTGTCACATGTATTCATATGTTACCATTGTTACCTGAGATAGTCGGTGATAATAATAATATGTTAACATCTTTAACAAGTTAAATGGTCAAATGTGTATTAAAAAAAATTTGCCTAAACGTAAACAAAATGAAAAAATGATTACCCTCCTAAGTCATTTTCCCTTTTCCTTTTTATAGTGTCTTTTATATCTACATATAGCATTTCACTTAATTTATAAATTACTAACTTTTATTATATATATATATATATATATATATATATATATATATATATATATATTTTGCGATTTTATTTTTTTAATTTTTTGGGGCGAGCTTGCTTTAAATTCCGAATAAGTACAAAAAAAAAATGCAAATTAAGCTTTATTTATAGGGAAATTTTCGATAAATTTTCAAAATTTTGACTAAATTTACATTTTAGTCCCAAATTATTATTTTTTTCAAGAAAAAAAAAACACAACTAAAATTTTTAGTTCAATCCTTTTTACATTTCAACATGTAACATGTTGTGGTTGCCGGAGTTGGCTCTTTTCGCCGAAGCACCACCAAATCGGCGTCGGCCTTTTAGCTGGAGGTTTTGTCGGGAAATAGACATCACATGCATCGCCCTTTTAGCCAGAAGCCTCGTCGAGACTACCATCCTCCGTCTTCTAACTTCCCAAATCGGCGACGATGGTTTACGAAATCGGCGGTCCGGTGTATAGCGGTTGTGAAATTCGGCATTAAGATCGACTGATGGTGGTGTTGGTGTTGAGCAGAACTCGTATTTGGTTCAGATCGAAGGTCAAAAACCGATGATCTGCAGTGGTCCGACGAAGTGGGCTATGGGGACGACATGGATACTTATTGTTTTGAGGGTAGCCCGGAGAAAATGGGTTTTGTAAATTGAACTAAAATATTAAGATTTAAAAAAAAATTTAAAAACCTTATTTATAGATAGAAATTCAAACGACATCGTGTTATCTATCTTTCTAATATCACCATCATTGGTTTCCTCCTAAAACCAACAGCCTCTCATTGACTTCTCATTTTCTCCTCTCTTCTCGTTACACACACTGAAATGTGGTCGCTGTGTGTATAAAAAGTTTGTTGGATTTCCTCTACCTCCGAAATATCTGGTGTGTCTCAGATCTCAACTGTCTCTCTCTTTCACACACAGTTTCATTTTTTACTGTGTGTGTGGCTTTTGATTCGATCGAAACTGGCTCTCATGAATTAGAAATGCTGCAAGTGATTGGTTTGATTGTATAATCGAGCTATAAATATAGTTCGGGTTTGCAATCTATACGTATATTGATAGATATACTGAAGATGTTGGATCTTAATGTTGATGTAGTAGTGTCTGTTGATGGTTCTGGTTTTATTCGCGATCGGATTGAATTTGAGACTGCGAAGAATGTTTCGGAAGATCGTCAATCGGAGATTCAATATTCCGGTACTTCAGTTTCATCCGACGTTTTGAACGCCGACGACGATCCTCCCGTCACCAATGCTGATGACGAAGGCTCGGTATCGTATACTGCTAGTAATATCGAGAAGCTCCGCTATCATATCGGTATCGTCGATCGAATTGGGAAAGTGAAAGAGGTTTCTAATGGAATATCTGGTGGTTTGATTACGAGGCAGTTTTTTCCGGTTGACAGTGATCTGGAGTTGGAGGACGAGGAGTTAGGTTCTCAGTCAATAACATCGCTGCCGTTGGCGACGTCTTTGCTTGGATCGCACTGGTTGAACCTTAAGGTTCCGGAACCTGCGCTGGCGCCACAAAACCTGCAAGTTCACCCGCCACCGCCGCAGCAGGCAAAGAAAAGCCGGCGAGGACCAAGGTCTCGAAGTTCACAGTATCGAGGTGTGACTTTCTATCGTCGGACTGGTCGATGGGAATCACATATCTGGTATGTATGATGCATTGCACTCTCGTTCTGATATGGTACATCACACATTCACATGAACTTGATATTTAATTACTACATATGCATCATTCATTTACACCGTATAATTGCTTGAAGCTGAAGCACATAGGATTGTTTCCGTATGGAATATACACTCCGTTCCCGATTATTTCCATATGGAAATAGAATTCGGATCAATAAGTTCTCTGGGGTTTGCTATTAATCTAAATTGCAACAATAACTGGTTTTATTTTCTATTTTCTGTGCTCAGGGATTGTGGGAAACAAGTTTATTTAGGCGGATTTGACACTGCCCTGGCTGCAGCTAGGTTAGAGATAGAGTTCCCTTTTGCAAGTATTATTGTAGTTTAATTTAATTGGATGTGACTTTAACTTGAATGAATCAATGATATTATAATTCAGAGCCTATGATCGAGCTGCCATCAAGTTCAGGGGAATTGATGCGGATATCAACTTTCATATAAACGAATATGAGGAAGATATGACACAGGTGGTGAGAATAATGTTTAGATACTTTTTGTCTCATTAGATTAGACCCAAGTTTTTAGTTTCTTAAGGTTAACGTCGCCAAATGAATGCAACACAACAGGTAAAGAATTTGTCAAAAGAAGAATTTATTCATATACTCCGTAGACAGAGCACAGGATTCTCACGAGGAAGTTCAAAATACCGAGGAGTAACCCTCCATAAATGTGGGAGATGGGAGGCTCGCATGGGTCAGCTTCTTGGAAAAAAGTAAGTTACACCATTTGATATAAAAAGAGAAATACATACATACTTGATGACTTGATGTAGGTGTAGTCTACTTTTTGGATTAAGTTGTTAAAATACATCATAGTGAGTAAATGAACGCAATCAGGACACCTTTTTGTTTATCTACAAGATTACAATCCTTGGTTTGCAGGTATGTTTACCTTGGATTATTCGACAACGAAGTAGAAGCTGCAAGGTTGTTGTAATTTTATAATTGACAATTAACATGTTAACGAAGGCATCATTCAACAACATTTGCAATTTATGTTGTCTGAATTCAGGGCTTATGACAAAGCTGCCATTAAATGTAACGGCAAGGAAGCTGTCACCAACTTTGAGCCAAGCATCTATGGAGCCGCCGATATAAGCTTGGAAGCCATGGATGAAGAAGGTATTGCATTGCTTGCTTATAACTTATTCACTATTCCATTTCTTAAAAAAACATAAAACGATAACTTGGAAAAATAAAATTCCATTTGTATTGCAGCTAGCGGTCACAATCTTGATCTCAACCTCGGGATTTCTCCCACTAAAGATAGTCCGGGGGCAAATTCAAATTTACAGGCACAGGCACAGGCACAAGCTCAAGCTCAAGCTCCGTTATGGCCTAGTAACATGTATTATGGTTTTACACCAAACAATGAGGTAATTATTTTATGGGTTGTTCTTGTTCCCTAAGTAATTTTATTTGAAATCCCTAACATGTCACCAACCAACCAACCAACCGACTAAAATTTTCTACTCAGGAAAAAGCGATAGGAATGGCATCTGCGAATAATATTCAAGGGCTCTCAGCATGGCAGACACAAATGCAACTGCAAATGCAAATGTTGGGGGGCAATTATAGCATGGGTGTGACATTTCCAATTCCGGTTTCTTCTATTGCAGCATCATCAGGATTCTCTTCTACTACTACTGTTTTCTCAAATAGGGGTAGTATCCAACACCAACAGCCAACCAACATGGCCAGGGGCACTTCTTCTTCGATATACTTTCAGTAACCAGATTGGTTAATAAAAGCAAGTCATGTTGACTGCTTGACTGACCGCTATTCATGTGGCAAAACATCTAATGTCACTGGAATTCATTTCTGCTTCTGCTTGTGTAAAAAAAAAAAAAAGCATACTCAAGCTTGTTTGTAATGATGCATATTGTGTTAGTAGGTTTTTATGGTCTTTACGAACATGTACGTATATACACCATATTTCAATGAAGTTCAAAATAAGTAGAGGGCCAACATCCATTTCTCTGGGCATTCAGAAACAGATACTTTGCCAACAATATTAACCTAATTTTTCATGTGAGATTTTAACCTAAAATAAAACTGCAATCATGATGAGGAACAAAGCATTGGTGAAACAAAGTTAGTTGTAGTAATAATATTCATGAAATCTATCCACAAGCAAGCTAAAGCTATTGACAACTCTTGTAAAAACACTGAACTTAGAGTTAAACCTGTCTGTCTGTGCTCATTTCATTTGATAAAACTAAAAGAAGTTTTGTCTGAGAAGGTGAAAGAAGAATTCTTTACATTCCAAATACCCGGGTGTGGGTGTGGGTGTGGGTGTGCGTGTGGGTGTTGTATACATCTCCCGAATTAGGCATTTGGAACATATAGTCACCATAATTTGGTAAAAATCTGCTCTCAAACCCCAACCTTTCTACCTCGTTTCTAGGATCATGTTGTTGTTGTTGAAGTTGAGCATCTTGAAACTGATAAGCATTTCCAAATTTCAGCTGTGAAAGTGAGTATTGTTGTTGTTGGGATTGGGATTGGGTGTTGTATAAAGATGGGTGATGTAGATCAAGATTCATTAGCCCAGAAGTAAGACCACCATAAAAATCATCATGTGAAGAAGGAAACTGAGGAATTATCTGGTGTGGCTGTGGCTGTATGGTATTGGTGGTGGTGGTGGTGGTGGTGGCAGTAGTAGGTGCAGATTGTTGTTGTTGTGTCATGAAATTGAAATGCCAGTCATCAAATGAATAGGAGGAATTTGTCAAGGGTTTCCCTCCACCAACCATCATCATATCAATAACATCATCGCTGCTGCTGCTGTTGCTTAGATTCCCAAATGATGGTGTGCGATAGTGACTGTTTGGCATACCCCTGAAATAATTCCCTGAAAATAAAAATAAAAAATAAGTAAATATAAAGAAAGATTCAAAAATAAGGTCAGTTTGCCTTGGTATAATGGAATCAAATAAGCAATGTAATGGAACATATCATTATATTCAATTGTCATCTTTGTTTGGTTGTCTTGAAGGGATGGAATGACTGATTATTTGTGATGTATAAGTTGAATAATATTGACAAATGAAGAAAATATATAATCAAATAAAGATATATCACCAAATAAATTGAATATAAACATATTTCAAATTGTTGTAACTATATACTATGTCTAATGTCTCTAATATGAATTTCAAATGGTACAAAAAAAAAATTATCACTTTCAAAAATTGTTTACAAAAAAAATAGATATAATGAAATGTAAAACAAAAATATAATAGAAAGATTTGCTTTTAGTTATTTTGAAAAAAAAAAACTTTAATTGAATTTTTGAAACTTTATTATAAAAACAATGATGTTATTATAGGTTATATGAAGAAAAGTAGGTTAAAATCATTCCATTCCATCAGCTACTAAGAGAAAAACATGAAAGAAAATCAGCCAAAGAGAAGGAATCACATTCCATTCCTTTGTGGCAAACAGAAAGGATTTTTTATCATTCTATTCCCCTTTAGATTACTGCATACCAAACAGTACCTAGATGCAAGGAAAGCTTTACCTGAGCTAGCAGCAACAGTCTGAGCCTGATCAGTTCTTATGCACGAGAAACCAGGAGGTGGTTTGCTGGGCATGGAGAATCCCGGTGGTATCAACTTCTGTGCCCTAGATCCTATTATTTGAAAAATAAAAAAAGATATAGGCATATTTAGTATATAGTAGTATAAAGAAAAGCACAAAACTGTATATACATACATACCAATGTCAATATGTTGGTTGGCAAAAGAGAATCTGGATTGATCACTATGTTGCCTTCCATCTCTTGCTTCAAACAATCCAGCTACTGAATTATCACATCCATCCAAATCAATCGACAAAATATCCGATATTATACTACTCTCCACATCAGCAGAATTTTCATCATTATTCACCTCAACCCTTCTCAAATGCTCCACAATCTCTTCATTAGAAAAAGAATTAGACTCTCTGTAAATCCTATCTGACTTAGCCAAATTCTCAAATTTCATCTCATTCTCATTATACCCATCATTCTTACATAATGGGGCCTCCTCTATAGACACTATATTATGATTATCTTCTTCATCCACATAACTATCTGATTTATCTTCTTCTTCCTCTTCCTCTTCCTCTTCTTCTTCAACAGAATTCACATCTTTATTAGAACTTGTATTACTCGACCCCCTTCCAACAATATCCACAAAAGTTGCCATGTTTTTGGATGATTTAATTGGCTCATCAGGTGAAACTACTTTCGGGTCAGTGTGGTTATATGATTGGTCAATGACAGGTGGCGGTAACATACTTCCGGATCGCCTATGTGTATAATGGGTCCCACCAACTATTTCTTGTACTCTATTCCTAGTATGAACTGCAGCTACTTCATCTTTACCAAAGCTATCCTCATCAGCACCAATAGTATGCAGGTATAAACATCCAGGATTGTTGCAAGGCTAAACATCAAAAAAAAAATTATAAAATTGTAGAAATTCATGAATGAAAACGAATTGAAATAATGAAAACATATTACATACCATGTTCCTTAACCAGGCATGACAATACTTTGCAGTCCCGAATGATGCCCTGGAGAATTTGGATTCAAAATGGTCATCATGAATGTAAAAGAAAGTAATAAGAGGACAAGAAGGTCATTTGCTTACCTTAAAAGCCTACCGTCCCAGACATAACCATGAACAGACTGAATACATGTTACTGCTTCCTCTTCTTTTGAGTAAGTAATATATCTGGGAACATAAAAGGGAGAAAATCATGAAATCTGGGACAAAAATCAAGCATAAGAGCAACTCAATATGCAAACTTATAGACTTACACACTGCAAGTGTCGTTAGTGAACTGCTGGAGAGTCCCGCCAGCTGTCCGAGAAAGGGAAACTTTTGTGACTTTTCCATATTGCCCAAAATAATCTTTTCGTTGCAATAACTACACCAGAAAAAGTAGCTTATTAACAATGATATATACAATTTAGAAAGAAAAGATTGAAAGGTGCTTACATTTTCATCAGCAAGATCAAGAGGGAGTCCAATGATATATGCCATTTTTCGCTGAATTACTCGAACATTGCTAAGATCTTTCCTTACTTCATTTGGTTTCGGTTTTGCCTTTGTTAGTTTTTGTTTTCGGTTTGAACTATTGGTAGCCACCCTATGTGCAAGAACCAGTTATTACAAGTCTTCATATGATCATATCAAATGTAGCAATGAAAGTTAACAGACTTCAAATGTACAGTACCTCTGAAAATTTGATTCCAACCCTACAATTCTATCTTTATCATAAGGTGTTCTACATGCAGGACAGCGCCCCTCTGTTGCATCTTTCTCTGCCATATCCATTATGTGATGCCAACACCAGACACACACCTGCATTGGTAGTACAAGAGGGTTAAAACAACTAATCAAACAAGTCAGCACCAAATAAACGAAGTTAAGAAGCAAAGAAACTGTTTCATGAGTGAAAATCCAAACCTTGTAACCACATTTGCAGGGATTCAATTGTTGATCAGTCCAATCCATCTCTTCTGCACACAAAGGACACCTTTTCTCTTCTTCGCTGTTCATGATTCCTCTGAAAAAACACATCAACATCCAAGAACCAACAAGAAATCAACGTTATTCTCCTTCTGACTAGCCTCGCACACATACATTCACTACGAAACCCTAACTTCCATTATTACGACTTACGACGAAATAAACCCTCTCATTACACACAAAAACCACAAAATCGTAATGCATTTCACGTAGATAACACCGGCTCGCACTTTAAACGCATAGACATACCAAAAGAACAAGAAATCCGGAATTAAAACATCGCGTGTACGCAATACACAGAATTACACATAAATCATGACGAAATGTATCACATTATAATGCAGATAATTAGGGTTTAGAAACTCGTACAGTTTAAGAAGTAACTGTAAAACTTACAGCGATTGAGTGAGCGAATGATCGAGAAGAAGAATCAGAGCAAAGAAATTGGTAATGGAAATCGAGAGAGAGAGAGAGAGAGAGAGAGAGAGAGAGAGAGAGACCCAACTGACGAGTACGGCTTAAAGAAATGAAAGCCACAGGATTGAGAGAGGTTTTTGTGAAGATGGGGGTTTAATATATATTTATTTTAATTTTAATTTTATAGTGTATTTTTGTCCTGTAGTGGCTTTTTACTTTCACATGGATAAATGATTTGGTGGATGATGGACCACCTAATCTTACCATGAGGCTGAGGGTACATTTTTTTTTGTCTTCAACATTGTTCCAAAGTTGGTGCCATGCCTTTTTCAGGCTACTAGAAGATTTGAGTTTAAGTTTCTCGATTTTATTAAGACTTGTTATATTAATTTTATAAGGCTTATAGATTAAACTAACTATTTTTCTATATAGTTTTTAAAAAATAGCTTTTATTTTTATATATTTAAAAACTAACTAACAATTCTAGAATAGGTTACTTTGTACCTATTTGTGTGCCCCTCGCATATAAATGGAGCTCATCATCAGTTGTGAAAATCATTTTGGAAAATTCTAAAAAATTTCAAACTCAAGATTTGAAGTTTATTTAGAAGAAAAACATAGACTTAACACACCGTGTTTGTTTCACGTGTTTTTCTATTACGATTTTAAGTCGAAAAGTGTTATATTCTTTGTTGTGAATGTGACGAACATGTCCAAAATACGACGACCAATTTATGAACGTTTCGTAAATGAAGGTTTGGCATTCCTTTTTCCGTGTTTTTTGTGTTTGATTCATCACTAGTCGTCTTGGCCACCTTGAAAGGCTATTATTTTATATTGGTGTATTATGTTATTTTAGATATTGATAACACCATATACTAGTTATCGTTTTATAATGTCTAATTATTATTTTTAACCATATCATTGTTTTAAAAAAAATTGCACGTTTGTTATCACATTCTTCGACATTAACAGTTGTGACACCTCTGTCAATAGTTAATGAAGTGATATTTATTAAAGTTAGACAACGGAGTCTTGTTGATAGGACCGTTTTACAAATGATTTGTGATTTTCACTATGTACAAAAGCAATTGTCAGAAATTAGGGATCTTATTATTGCATTTAGAAGGCAATGAACATAGAAAGTTAGCATTTTACAGTATACAAATATTTGTGATTACGTCTGAATATATATATATATATATATATATATATATATATATATAAATAAGTTTCTCAACTTAATGGAAATAATTCAATAAGCATGTGGGGTGAGTGCAACACTTGACGAGCGAGTTAAAATGGTTGATGGTGTCATGGACTTAAATGAAACTTACATGCAATTGTTTTAAGTTCGCATAGACACTCTTAGGTTACACCTTACGCAAGTCCCAAGTATAAGTGGTTATCACAAACTCCTATTCCTCAAGGTTGGCTTTGATTCGTTAAGTTAGGAGTACTCGACCATGTAATGGGCACACTCGGCTTTGGTATCAAATGGTGTGTCTATATTACATTTGTCTCTCCTCTGCTAGAGATTCAGTTTTGGTTAATGGTAACTCTATTAAAGAGTTTTCTTTCCCTTGAATAACATAATGAGTAGGTGTAACATCCAGTTTCGGAATGTTTCTAATTTCGTGATAACATACTGTAATTTGATCAGGTAAAAGTCTTAGGCTTCAAGGGAATAAATTTTAGACATTATTAGATGTTGATAATGCTAGTTAAATGACTTAAGCCCTTGAATTGTGCTTTAGATCCAAAAGGATAAAATGGGAAAATTGATATTCTAGACTTTTTGCATTCATTAATAAATTAAGTTCGGTATGCTTTAACTCAAAAGTAATTTGATATAATTGTGGGGTTTGTCAATACATTAGCGTGCATATACAGATCAATTGAAATTGAGTTTAAAACGAAGAATCTCGTCAATATCTGCAAAACCAACTGTTACCAAACAATATAGATATATCTTATAACTTATATATCTATAAAACATTACATCCAGACATATCCATCCCAACCGATTCTCACAAATCCTAGTCCACAATTATCAGGATGAATTAACTTACCTGATGAATCGTTTAGAACAATGGTCGACTACACAAATAGGGGGTTCCTTGGTTGGTGTAAGTCATTAAGGCAATCAAATCCATCAGAGTATTAGATGAATATGAATTCATATTTCATCTATGTCTATGGGTTATAAGTTCATACTAGCAACGTAATTTACAAGATCGTCTAGAATGATCAAGTGTTGTCATTTTACTCTGGTATATGACCAAATATACCGTTTCAGTTTCCTGATAGGACCGACCATATCTGGTTGTCCAAATGAATACTATATCGTACTCTGGTACGTAATTCGTACATCGACACCTGATAGTGTCACAAAACAGAGTTCTACTTTATGTTCCAATCACACACACCCTTAATATGATGTTAGATAGTATCCAAACTTAATTAAACTAAGCACCCCCTTTAAGTCCTGGTGTATAACTAGACAAGATTACAATGTTTCTAATCAACACCGTTTCCTACCTATGTAATATTTCTACACTGCAGGGTATAACTAAACACTATTTCGTTTTAACTCGAACTAGGCATCCGTTATAAATCTTATTTCATTACTATATAGGATTATAATGCTTATAATAAATTTCCAAAACCATTTTTCTATTTATACCATACTATCAAAATACATCATCTGACTATTCTTTTATCCAACTTAACTGGATCTAAATATTCTTTATACGTCTTAGTTTTAAATTCAGACAATATTACAATCATTGCAATCAACTTTTAATACTAACTCTGTTTAGATACCACTGTCATAATTTAGTGTATATACTTAACACAGAGTATCAGATATTTTAATATACAATAATCTTTTAAGTATAATACTTATTTTTTTAAGATTGTCATATAATAATATCATATAAACAATTGAACATATATATATATATATATATATATATATATATATATATATATATATAAACCATATTTGGTTCACAAAGTGTATATTACCAATATACATTTAACAAATATGTCAGATAATAAACATGTAATTCACATATAAACTGTAAATAGATATTTAATATTTTTTAATAATTACTTGTATTAAATCTTGTTCATGAAAATAATTATGCACTCACTTGATTGAGGTGAAAGACTCGGGGGAAAGTCGGATCCTTGTTGACGCTTCAGATTTCCCTTTAAAACGACCTACATATGAATATTACTAAGCCTTAGTATTAGTTCGTATTCATAAAGTTTATTCGTTATAATGTTTTTCTCATACTTATCAATAATCCCAAAAGAATATTGACTTATAGCCGATAAGGAACAACCAGGTAATATCGGATCGGAGATAGGATCCGTTTGATATATAGAGACGCACTGTTTGGAAAATCCACTTTAAACACCTCACAAATCTAGCCTAAATATCACTCCCGTAAGTAGATCGATCGGTATAATGATTGGTATTACTGATAAATCTTATTCATAAGTTCATAATAACGATTACAAACATAAATATAAGTTATACTTAAAATATGGTAAGCATAACTCAACTTACAGGTTGTTTAAAAAAAACTTGGAAAGTCGCGGACAGAACTTTGACACCAAACACTTCTTTTTGTCGACATTTTATCACTGCAGCACTTCGTCATGATACTTCGGGACTACGAAAAGACAGATTTTTAGAGAAAGAAAGAGTTTCTAGAGAGAGAAACCCGGAACATTAATGAGAAAGAAATTAGGGGGCTTGGCTTGTTATTTATAGACTTATGGACATAGGGCGCCCCTGAAGAGGAGAGACCAAGTTCCGCTCATATCTTTCGCATACAAGCTCCGTTTTCGACGTTCTTTATATCGATGGATTCGTAATTTCATAGACATCAACTTTATTGTAGATAGGTTTGTCTAACGAGCAATCAAACTTTATTTTGTACTTTGTGACACATACTTGTAACGACCCAATTTTCAAAAGAAATTTTTTCATTTTTGATTAACCAAAATACTTTCTACAAACCATGAAATCCCAAATACAATTGTTTTCAAAATTCATAACAACAACAACTTTATTTCAAAACATCAGAGTGTCCCATCAAACGCTTAAAAGAGAGTACACGTCGCGCCGTCACGCATTGCCCTTGCCCATGGGCTTAGATGTACCTGAAACAAATTCACAAACTGTAAGCTAATGCTTAGTGAGTCCCCCAGAGCATACCCCACACACAATCTACATAACACATATCATATTAGTTATAAAAGCTACATATATCACATAAGCCATGCATATAACATATAGGAAGTCATGGAAACCCTCCAGGGTCTTACACCTAGTGTCACTGGAACCCCCACGTGGTCTTAACTATCTACCATGGGAACCCCCTCATGGTCTTCCTGCCATGGGAACCCCCACATGGTCTTCTCTACCAAGTAAATATCATACAAACTAAACATGCAAATACACTAGGATGTCATGGAAACCTTCCAAGGTCTTATACCAAATGTCACGGGAACCCCCACGTGGTCTCGGTCTACTGCCACGGGAACCCCCCGGGGTCTTCCATACAAATGTCATACTAACATAACGCATAATCAATCGACAATCCACTTATCAAAAAATGGGTCGGCCTTGGTGCCTTAGACCCATTGGTATGGTGAGAAGACTCACCTATCGAATGTTGAACTGAGAAGCTAAGATCGGATAAATCCCACGCACGGCTCCAACTCAACTGCCTATAATCATCATGTGATTAACTTGTCACAATCCCGAAATACCATAAATACCCTCAAAGTCAACCCTGGTCAAAGTCAAGGTCAACGGTCAAGGTCAACAGTTTATGTTGACCTCAACTCATCGAGTGCATCCAGCAACTCGTCGAGTTCCTCCCAATTCCATTCCACTAAATCCCGAGTCAACTCGCCGAGTCACTTAAATGACTCGTCGAGTTCATCCAAATGTCCAGAAAACCAAAAGTTCATTCAGACCAACACTCTAATCCTTCACTACGCTCATTCAGAAACTCGAAAACGGGTAAACCCTACACCGACTCGTCGAGTCGACTAATGGAATCGACGAGTTCCTTCAGTCCTTTGGTGTTCAGTCCTTTCCAGTGGAATCTAAGGTCCCAAACTTCAGATCCAACCTCCCTTAATGCCAATACCACGTAAAGTTGCAAACTTTACGTGCATGCAAGGCTTCCCAAGGCTATAACATCAAAATTAAGCTTCCTATAAGGTTTTAGTGCATGGAAAGGGCCTAAGCTGGAT